TAGCCTATAGCCTATCTAAAAAAAACAACTAGACAAACTGCAAATCCAGTCTTCAACATTGAGTGCACAGGCCTGTGGGAGGGGGGAGCTAACTTTGCAGAGCTATTGGCCCATCCAACACTCACTCATTTCACTCATTTCACTCCCTTTTTTAATAGATCAATGCCTGTTTCATTTAACTGATAGAGGGTTAACATTCTCAGTCTTTCTATTGTATGTATGTGTCTAAGTGTGAGTGTATGAATACGTGTATAGGTTACTGTATATGTGTTTATATTTAAATAATTTGAAATTGTGTAATTGGATTTGCTTAGTTGATTTATTTGTCTCTTAAGAGGTGAGGTTCCCTGTATAAGCCTGTTGGCTTCTTGACCTCTCCTGACACACCTTTTATGTTTTTGTTAATCCTATTTTGATGTATTCTTATGTGTGTGCGAATAAATATATATGTATTTTTTAAATAACACTATTTCTCAAAGATGTGTGGCTTTTTGTACATGTAATAAGGTTAGATTTTTGCACATCATACAGTGGGACATCAGTCCCCTGAAGGCACTCTGCTCCAGTGGGGATTATCATCTGATAATATAAATTCACTCCACTGTGACTGTCTCTACCTACCGCGTTTATTTTTTTGCATGTAGCCTACTTTTGCATTTTAATTAATATTGTTTCTTTGCTCCTAATGTAAGTCGTTTAGGCCGTTGCAAGTCGGTTGACCCTAGTCACTCTGTAGTTTTCACTTATAGCAACTCTACCCTTTGCCTACATTTCCCACAATTCTACACGCTCTAAATCGCCGTAAAGCAGTACGCCTTTCTGCCAGAGAGCGACAGCAGCGTCTGTTCACTGTGGCTGTAATCTGGTCAGACGACCGGCTGACATTAGACTGAACGGGGAGGTGTTTTGTTTTTTTATTTAAAATGTCTATTTCATCTCCGCACAGCTCGGAATCAAGCCGCAGGAGGAGGCCGACTGAACACACACAATCCTGTGGTAACGTCAACAACTTTATTTGTATCACAGTAACTGTGCCTACAATAACAATATCTTCTCCATATTAAACCTGTGGTCCTTATGAACAGTGAGGAGACGTGCATGTCGTATTCATACAACGGCTTTACGCCCCCTGTGTGTGTGTGTGTGTGTGTGTGTGTGTGTGTGTGTGTGTGTGTGTGTGTGTGTGTGTGTGTGTGTGTGTGTGTGTGTGTGTGTGTGTGTCTGGTGTGTAGCCTGCCTGTCTGGTCAGCACCCAATTCGTGTTAAAAGTGTTCATGTTGATATTGGAAAATCGTATATTGTTTGCTTAGTTAAATCCTGGTTGTCTATATTCTCATTCTTAGTTTTTATATTTTTAGTGCTTATTTACTTTGTATTTAATATTATATTGTGTTTAGATTTGCTAATATTGTGTTTGTTGCTCATATTGTGTGTTTGGACAACCTGCTGCTGTAACGCCACAATTTCCCAGTTTGGGATCAATAAAGTCATTCTATTCTATTCTATTCTATTATTATTCTATACCAATATAGACTATCAACTGTTTTGATTGTATTATTGAGCAGTCTGTTTGGTTATTTTATTAAATAGAAACATTCATTTGAAAAAAATAAAAAGTAAGCTTCAGATCCTCAAATCGAACCAGATTGAGCCGCTGACATTCTCGCTTTTAAATACGTATTCACTTATCATAGTTGGCTACTTGATTAACTTTTGTCAATGAATTGAATAATTGGTGGTAATTTCCTGGCAGCGACATAGCCTATCTAAATCTCAAGTTTGCAGAATAAATGTATTTTTTTATTTTTGTCAAATTTTCAGTGAGCAAAACTAAAAGAGGAAACAAGCCCGAGACACCTTAAGTGTGTGGACATCCTGTTTAGAACAAAAGAGGAAGTCAAGTTTGTTCCGTGTTGCCAGTGATTTCTTTTTTGTATTTATTCATAAAACAAATCCTGTATCTTGTGAGAGAAAAACTCCTGGAAATAAATGAATAACCTCCAGCACACAATCTCCTCCTTACTTAATGACTGTCATGCTTCTGACTTCCCTGCAGCTGTCTGTCTCTGAGGCAGTAATCTAATAATAATAGATAGACAGAAACGCTTACTGCCTCTAAAGGTGAAATTTGACTTTCAATTCACTTATATGTGTCTCACAACATTTACACAAACACACACGCATCTACACAAAACTGCTTGTAGTTACTTCCTTAAGTAGCTGTGAAAAGTTGAAGGAGCTTCTTGCTTGGATCTTGTACTACAGTATTGTGAATGCTGTGGGCGAGTCTGAGCAGTACAGTGTAGTAAAGAAGAAGTGCAGTGCAGACTCTGGGTATAGCTGACACAGACTAGGGTAGAGTTGGTGCACGACACGTGGACACTCTTCTCAAGACAAAGACTCTTGTTAGGGACGACCTTGATGACCACTTTTATTGTTTTGATCGTCCTTCACACAAAAACCTCAAACGTATGCTGGTCACAGCTTCTAAGATGTAAGAGACAATTTCTTTTGCAGTGTTTAATGAATAATCTTTGGGTGTTAGACTGACATAATTTGCACGTCACTAATAATGGCAATCATTTACCCTTGACTGCATTTTAAACTGCTTTTATTTAATAATCTACAATTCACAAGCAACGTACATCAGAGAGTAACTACAACACCAGCAAGGATCTAGAAAAAAGGGAACAATGTGAGTAAGAGCAAACGATCAGCTTTGAGTCTGATTGGACACACAGGTGCTGACAGGAAGTGACCAGAGGCAAAGCACAACATTGAGGGCAGTTCTTGAGAGCTCTAATCAGTATAGAAACCATCTTATAAGTCATCGTTATCAAACAAAAACCATCGTCATTACCATCATCATCATCAATAATATGGAGACCATCATCATTAAGTTAGTAGGTATTCATGAAAGAGCTGGGTCTTTAGCTTTTTCTTAAAGGTGCAGAGGGACTCTGCAGATCACATGGAGTTTGGAAGTTCATTCCACCACCGGGGGGCGACAGAGGAGAAGAGTCTAGTCAGAGACTTAGGACCCTGTTGTGAAGGTTGGATCAGACGCCTTTCATTGGCAGAGCGTAGTGGGGGGGAGTGTAGACCTGGATGAGAGAGTTAAAGTAAGGAGGAGACGTTTTTGTCGCTGTTTTGTAAGCGAGCAGCAGAGTTTTAAATTTGATGCGAGCAGTAACCGGGAGCCAGTGTAAGGAGATGAACAGTGGAGTGATAAGTAGATGAGTAATAAGTGTAAAAAATCATTTTTTTGCTTGTTGTTGCAGATCCTCCATGGCAGCATGATCCCCGGGCAGGTCACAATCGTGAACCAAGCCATGAGGGACTATGTGGCGGTCAACTTAATCCAGCAGACACTTTTCCTTCATTTCAACATCACTCCATATGTCCTGCCCTGTGCACAACTAAATGCAGTTCAGCACATTCATGTGAGTACTGTGTACCAACTAATTTAGAGGTAACACTTTATATTAAGGTGCTTGTAATAAGCATTAATAACAGGTAATAACTCACTTATAATCCAGTACCTGCAGAGGAGCTTTATTAACTCTTAATAAGTGCATAATAAAGTATTTATTAATCTTTATAAGTCATTAATATGAACCTAATAAAGTCTTAACAATGTTAATAAACATCTTATGAATGTTGATAAGTGGTCTATAAACAAGTTTCTTTGTGTTAATTAATATCATTTACATTCATTTTTAGTTTAATTAACACTCATGAAGTCTTATTAATGTTAATAAGCATCTTATTAATGTTTATGACGGTATATAAAGTGTTAATAAGTTTCAAATAAGAGCCTATAAGTATCTAATAAGACATAATAAATGTGTTAATTATGCCTATATTAACATTTCTATAGTGTTATTTGTGTTAATAAGAATCTAATAAGGTCTTATAAGTGACTTGTAAGTGACTTATTACCTGTTATAAATGCTTATTATAAGCACCTTAATATAAAGTGTTACTAATTTAGATTATTATATGAAAAGCAGTTGTGATCTCTGTGAAACACTTATGTGTTATGCTGCTCCTGGATGTTTTAAGGTCCGATCCACCATACCTGTGATGACGGTTGGGTGGAGATCCAAAGCAAGAGAATCATCAGCGCAGAGAACGAAGTGGAAGCAAACAAACTGGTTAACAACTACAGGGTAAGAAGTCTGAAGGCAAATTTTAAACTTAAACAAATCAAAAGACGATCACAGCAGGCCTGTTAACACCTCAAACTTTGTGTCTTATGTGTTAAGTTTGGTTTCAGAAAATGGAAAAGCCATGTGACCGAGCGTCCATTTGAAGACAGGTCAGAGGTGGTGAAAGAGCTCTACTCTGAACTGAAAGTCATTAAACCACATACAGGTACAGTTTTGATAGTTCTCATGTAGTGTGTAAGGTGTGGTGTTGTTCTTTATAACGTAATCAAGCTGTTACAGTCCTACACTTAACTGTATAATAAAGCAGTGCTGTTTAGCAGGAAGCTCTTTTAGTTGGTATTCTCTGTAGAGACTTAAGTCTGGCTCACTCTGCAGTGTGAGCTGACATGACACCCCGACTTTTATACAATCGGGGGAAAATCGCACCGTGTGAGCCAGGCTTTAAAGGCAGAGCTGCAGAAGTAAGTAGAGAATAAGAGACACAAAGCCAGAGGTTGGACAAGAGTAAATCTTAGACTGGCTTGGAGTTGTTTGCGAAAGAGTTAATTTAAACCCCCAAATGCGATTTTTCACACTTAAATGTAGAAATCAAGTATATCCTCTGAAAATAACTCTGTGAGTCATGACTGTCTACAATGGGCGTAACTCCCGAGTCCCACTGTCTGTGATGTTTTCAGAGTCCTATCTTCACTTTGTTTACATCGCCTGGACGGCCGGCTGACTCCTCCCCTCGTGTATAAAAGTTGTTTAATTGAGGGACTAGAGAAAAGAAGAATAACATACTGTACTCACTGCTTAACTGTGTTTCTAGATCACGCTCATTTCAGGTAAATTTACATGCAGTGTGAAGATACCAGCATAATAAAGATCGCTAGCATTAGCATGCTAACACAACAATGCAGCGTGAGTTGTTTTGGTTTCATGCTGGTGCTCAAGGGCGACATCTGCTGGATCAAAAAAAATCACATATAAAGCCTTTAACAAGTTTGATTTGATGTTTCCCCCTTAATCAGAAATACTGTGTTGGCATAACCACGGCATGAATAGATCACATTTCAGATATAAACCTGATGAGTCTCCTTAAGAGTAAGAAAAATAAATGGCCCAACTATATATATATAATGATATCTGACCTGTAATTAACATGTAAATAAATACATATAAAATCTAAATACATATATCAATAAATGATACTGAATCAAATTGTTCCTGTTGTAAAACTAGTCCCTTTTGTATTCAAGTTTCTGTCGGTCCTCTTTGTGTCAGGTCATCTCATCACATGTGGAAATATAGCATATTTGTTTCTCTTCGGTTGGTGGGTCTCTCTGGCGTACTTCCTGGTCAGCATGCTGATGTTCATCACTGTCATTGGCCTACCCTATGGTAAGTCAGCCAGTCACCCCCGAGATCTATGATAATGTGTATTATTAATCAGATATAGTCTCATTTGTTTGTTTTTTTCTGACCCTCTTCAGGCAGGCTTTGCTTGAAGTTGTCCTGCTACTTCCTGTGGCCATTTGGCAAGTCCATCCACGAGGTACTGTTTGGGATCCTCCTATCGTCTCTTCCTTTTTTTATACAAAAGGGGAGGATACACAATCACAGCATATCCGTTAGTTTCTCAGTTGTCCCTCAATATCTTCCTTGAGGTCAAAAAAGCTGAGATTGGCTAAAACAATCACATTCTACAATCTGATAGCACAATACATCGGTGAGAATAAAGTCGAGCAAATTTAGGAAATTCTCATTTCTATATTTTCGCTTGTAATCACACGTAACCAATTTTCTCATCTCGTGCCGTCCTACTTCCTATTCTGAAAATGTCATGGTGTTCCTCAAGGTTTAGTTTTAGACCCACTTTAATTTATGTATAACACTTGTAAATAAAAACTGATTTCTTTATTATAAGTATGATGATACACAGCTATCTCCTGTCATACCAAACCCCAGATTTTCATTGTGTTGTGCAAATTCTGACAGGCTGTTATGCTGTGTTGGTAATCAACTAAGGGTTCAAATAGTTTTTTGGTATAACTCTGATCTTGACAATCTACTGAAAACAGTTTAATTTGTGTTTTTACTTCCGTCAAGAAAAGTGGATTTTTTTTTCTTTCTTCACCAGTGTCCCTTGAATCACATGATTTATTTTTTTACCCTCCTTCACCAGTGTCCCTTGAATCACATGATTTATTTTTTTACCCTCCTTCACCAGTGTCCCTTGAATCACATGATTTCTTTTTACCCTCCTTCACCAGTGTCCCTTGAATCACATGATTTTATACCCCCTATGACACATCATTAAAATATATCTGGAACAGTTTACAATCCTGAACTTCTTAACCTTTGCACCCCTGAGGGAAGACGTCGATCAGCTGACCTAATTCAGTTTTGGAAACCTGATTGGGAGCATTGCAGCATTGACACAATTATCTTAAACAAACTGTTACACATAATTTCCTTGGGTCTGTCTTTTACTGTTTGCTTTCATTGAGTTTTATTTTTTGTGTAGTTAAACTATTTTGATCATTGATTACTCGATGACGTTATCTACTCTTTTTCTGTCCAGATTGGAAATACATTGAGGAGATGTTGCGAGCAGGCTCCTGACTGTGAGTGTAACATAGAGGAGGCCGATGATAACTCACCAGTTCTGCTACCTTCACCCACAGAGATGCCAATCCCAGACTTTTCAGGACAGCCTCAGCAAACTCCCTACTGGGTAAAAGAGAAAAAAATGTAAATATAAACCCTATTCGCAGCGGATTAGTTTTACCTCGGGACCTCCGTTTTTTGGGGGAATTATCCCCCAACTTCAGTGTTTGCTGGATAAGCACAGTCTCTTATTTACTGTACTCTAATTTACTGACATTTCTGAATGAAAACCTGAAGGTACTGCATGACAGAGGCAATAAATAAAGCCCTGCGCTCTTCTTTTTAATTTCAATGCAAAAGGGAAAAATAGTGCACTTAACATTTTTCTTGTGAGAATGCTTTAAAGGCTTTATATGCAATTTTTCACACTTAAATATAATATAAATCAAGTATATCCTCTGAAAATAACTCTGTGAGTCATGACTGTCTACAATGGGTGTAACACCCGAGTCCCACTGTCTGTGATGTTTTCAGAGTTCTCAGAGTCCTATCTTCAGTTTGTTTACATCGCCTGGACGGCCGGCTGACTCCTCCCCTCGTGTATAAAAGTTGTTTAATTGAGGGGCTAGAGAAAAGAAGAATAACATACTGTACTCACTGCTTAACTGTGTTTCTAGATCACGCTCATTTCAGGTAAATTTACATGCAGTGTGAAGATACGAGCATAATAAAGATCACTAGCATTAGCATGCTAACACAACAATGCAGCGCGAGTTGTTTTGGTTCCATGCTGGTGCTCAAGGGCGACATCTGCTGGATCAAAAAATCACATATAAAGCCTTTAAAACACAGACATCCTCTGCAGTTATTAGAAATGATCAGCTGTCCCTAGTAAATACTTAGCCTGTGCAAATAGGGTTATAGACAAGAGATGTGCACCTTTTTATATATTATTGAATAATGTCTGCCTTGTGAAAAATCAACCATGTATTTTAATAAGTTGTATTCTTGTTGTGTAGCATCGTTTCTCAACATACGCGTGGCTGCTGCTTGGGTATCCACCCCTTGTAGTCGTCCACTCTCTGGCTTGCTTCCTCTCCTGGATCCTGGTCTTCACTATCCCTGTTTCCAAGATGAACGCTCGCACCATCCGCGTCATTCTCCTCTTGCCTCCCGAGGATGTCTCGGTCTCCACATGCTCACAGAGGAAGGTAGGAGGGAGAGAGATGGAATCATCATCATCCACAGCACGTAAAGGCAGGACATTTAATCAAGTGTAATTTTTTGTTTTTTATCTGAACTCAAGCGTCAAGGCTGCGAGACCAGAGCTCTGCTGTGCTGCTACCATGCTGCAAACTGGTACTACTACAAGTTCACTGTTGATGGGATCAATGTGTTTGCTGTCAGTATCCTTTAATATTTCATGTGGTCCTGTTTCTGTTTTATCTGTAATACAAAGCTGTTACCATCTTTGACCTCCGTATCAGACCTTCTCCCTTTAGTAATAGTTGCCATGGTAATTGGATATATTGACCGAGAAAACCAGTACGCCAGCTCTGAAGTCAAGTTTGCCATAGCCATCTGCTCCATCATTCCTCTGTCCTATTATATTGGAATGGGCATTGCCAGGTGAGCTGTTTTTTAGTATTCATGTTTATCAGCTAAAAAAAAACACATTCAGCATAAATATTGACTAATTGTTATATGTACTAGTTACACATGTACAGGACAAGATCATCCGAGTTAGGACATACCACTTTGCCCACAGAGGGAGCTAAAATCAACACAAACCAAACTTTAAAACTCGCTCTGTAAAGAGATTTAATAAAAGAAAATAGAATTTCAAGTGTGGCAAAAATGAATGAAAGGAGTCACTTATTTTCTTACCTATTGTTGCCACTTGCAGTATCTCCGCACAGAGCAACTTCGCTGTGGGTGCCGTGGTGAACGCGAGCTTCGGCTCCATCACAGAGCTGACTTTTTACATCACAGCCCTGCTCAGAGGTCACCGGGCGGGAAACCCATGTCTGCAGGAGGTAGTGAAAGCGGCACTGACTGGCACGCTGCTCGGATGCATCCTCTTCATCCCCGTGAGCCAAACTGCATTTATTTCAAAATCTACAGCTTTCAACAGAGTTTTAAACAATGAACTAAACCATGCCTTCTTAAATTTGGAAGTTTGTTTGTTCCCCCATCAAATTATATTATTTCAATGTTTGCAACTGATAAGGATTTCAATGAGATAATTGAATCAGTTGGACTACTGTGGAGACAATAATACACAACACCTATTCAGCACAACAAGAAAGAGGCTCTTTGTTTTGTGTTCTCCTCAGGGTATCTGCATGATCATCGGCGGGCTGAGACACAGTGAGCAAACATTCAACAGTCGATCTACAGGAGTGAGCTCTGCTTTACTTTTCATCTCTGTGGGAGGCAAGTTTTTTTTAAATACACATTTTTTCTGTATGACATTTCCCAGATTTACATTTTTTTATTGTAAGACGCAACAAACACATTTGAATACATTAACATTAGGAAACAGCTCATGACTTTATTGGTCAAAACTTAACAAGAGATCTTTTTACTTATTTTATAGCTAAGCGTTTGAGTACATTTTCATAGTTGTGTCTGAGTTGAATGCCAGGCTGGTGCATTGTAGCTAACCAAAAAAACATTATGAGAATATTAGTGAAATGATATTTGAACATTCTGTAGCCTGCTCCCCTAGCCCTAACATACATACCCTTATAGTCTATAATCAACCAGTGTACTACAACTTGAATGTTATTCATTTGTACAAAAAACACTTAAACCACTTGCTACTAAGAAAGTTAAAGGCTTTATATGTGATGTTTTGATCCAGCAGATGTCGCCCTTGAGCACCAGCATGAAACCAAAACAACTCGCGCTGCATTGTTGTGTTAGCATGCTAATGCTAGTGATCTTTATTATGCTGGTATCTTCACACTGCATGTAAATTTACCTGAAATGAGCGTGATCTAGAAACACAGTTAAGCAGTGAGTACAGTATGTTATTCTTCTTTTCTCTAGTCCCTCAATTAAACAACTTTTATACGTGAGGGGAGGAGTCAGCCGGCCGTCCGGGCGATGTAAACAAAGTGAAGATAGGACTCTGAAAACTCTGAAAACATCACAGACAGTGGGACTCGGGTGTTACACCCATTGTAGACAGTCATGACTCACAGAGTTATTTTCAGAGGATATACTTGATTTCTATTATATTTAAGTGTGAAAAATCACATATAAAGACTTTAAAGATCATTGTAGGTATTAAAAAAGCAAATAAAAACAAATCTACAGTCAACATCAGAAATATTAACAGGCTGTTTTAAGAGTTTGTAATTACATATAGACTTTATTTAAAAACAGGAAGACTATGCATGTATTCATGAGTTAGGATATGGCTAGGTCACTCAGTTGAGCCCCTAATAAGTCTGAGTGGGAACTTGCAACTACAAATATCACCATTGGTGCTAAAAAGGATTTGACCTTCACTGCATTTAAACAGACATTTGCCAAACTCATTTAACTCATATTGTATTTTCACTTAATACAGAATCATTAATCTGTGGACATTTTGTGTTTATAAAACTTCCCAGCTCTTAGGAAAAGATTCTTATTCTGCTAAAATAGTCCCAATGTAAATGCTCAGTGATATGTTCAACTTTGGCCATAGTGCCATTTTTGAGTCCCTGGTTCCTTGCTGCAACCGCCAATAAATTCAACACACTCTACATTACCTAAGCGGGGACGTTCTGTTCTGTACTGTTTAAAGTAAAGCACATGGGGGCGCCAGAAGCCTAGCCGATAGTTTGCACGCCCCCTAGTGTATGGAGGCTGTAGTCCTCCAAGTGGGCAGCCCAGGTTCGAATCAGACCTCCTTTCTTACGTCATTCCCCACTCTCTCTCTCTTCCTGATTTCTGAGTCTATCTACTGTCCTACCTCTAAAATTAATTTAATTTAATTTAATTTAATTTAATTTACTGACTTATCACTGTAGTAATTTCAAAGCTTTTAAATTATTTCAGTGTATATATTTTGTTGTTCTTGTTGCTCTTTTATTGATTTTATTTTCTGTAGTAGCTCTATCTCATTTCTCGTTGTTTATCATTTATGTATGTTTTCTCGGCATCATTGTAAATGAGGGTCGCCCTCAATGATCTCTACGAGAACTTAAATAAAGGTTGATGATGATGATGATTTTAAAATAAAGGCATAAAGAAGAAAGCCCAAAAATAAAGTAAATCACATGCAAACTTTCATTGCATTGCATTAACAACATTACTGTTCCATAACTAAGAAGCTAGCTCGACATTTTTATTTCATGAGGAATTCAAAAGTAATTGTCTTGGAAAAAAAAAAGTGATGTGATTGTCTAGAAAATTCTCAATTCACCGATACACATAACGAATCCTCCTCCTGACTGTCAACCGGCAGGTGTGTTTGCTCCGACGCTGTTCTCTAAGGCGTACGGCAATCTGGTGTGTGATGCCTGCACGAACTCATCCGGAGGAAACGGCACAAGCAACAGCAGCGGCCCATTCATCTGCCACAACTGTCACTACGACCTGGTCAGCAACATAAGCCACATTGAAACAAACATCATTTAATTCACAGAACACTGTGTAATGTATTGTGTGGATTTTCTTTTGTCAACAGAACAACGGCACATTGTTTCACAACCATGTCCAGTAAGTAATGATTTCAATATTCTGTTATTCATATATCCACTGTGATGTCTTAAGTTATTTTTTTTTCCATTCTTGTCAGGCCGCTGGTGTACACAGTGTCTGCCCTCTTACCAATAGCCTACATCATCGGTCTGATTTTCACCCTGAAGACGCACTCCCACATTTATAACATTCGAGTTGGAGAAAGACAAGGTAGGAAGTCTAAAACTCACACAGAGTTTGACCTTGGCCAAGGCTTTTTCTGAAAAAATAATTTGTTGTTGTTTTTGTTTTTGTGTGCAGAGACCAGCCACCATGGAGCAGTGGTCCACTGGTCACGATGGAGGTCCCTGGTCATCCTCATCATGGCCACTGTGCTCACATCAGTGTGTGCTGATCTGGTCACAGAGCACATCCAGCCCATACTCAACCAGCCCAACATCTCTCAGGTCAGGTCATCTGAGGTCGCTCAGGGAAGATTTTAATTTGAAAGTCTCCTCCTAGAGTGTTAACGTTTTGTCCGATTTCTCTGCAGTATTTCATTGGAGTGACAGTCCTGGCTATGGTTCCTGAGATCCCAGAGATAGTGAATGGGATCCAGTTTGCCCTCCAAAACAACATCAGTCTGAGGTAAGACTTTATTTACAAAAGGTTATTGGAGTTATTGGAAAAGGTTATTCCTCTATTGCCCCCCGGTGGTGGAATGAACTTCCAAACTCCATGTGATCTGCAGAGTCCCTCTGCACCTTTAAGAAAAAGCTAAAGACCCAGCTCTTTATGAATACCTACTAACTTAATGATGATGGTCTCCATATTATTGATGATGATGATGATGGTAATGACGATGGTTTTTGTTTGATAACGACGACTTATAAGATGGTTTCTATACTGATTAGAGCTCTCAAGAACTGCCCTCAATGTTGTGCTTTGCCTCTGGTCACTTCCTGTCAGCACCTGTGTGTCCAATCAGACTCAAAGCTGATCGTTTGCTCTTACTGACATTGTTCCCTTTTTTCTAGATCCTTGCTTGTGTTGTTCTTACTCTCTGATGTATGTCGCTTTGGATAAAAGCGTCTGCTAAGTAGAATTGATGAGGGGCTCTCTGTTTCTAAATGATTTGTCATGTTTCAGCTTGGAGGTGGGGATCTGTATTGCAGTCCAGGTCTGCATGCTCCAGATTCCAATTCTGGTCTTATTTAACTCCTTTTATGTGAGACCTCCTTCTTTACTTTTCTCAATCATTCTGAAAATAATAAGTATTCACTGATTCACAACTTCTGTTATTAAACACTATTCTTTGTTTGGAATAGGATGTGGGCTTCGTGCTGTTATTCAGCGACCTCCACCTGTGGGCCAGCATCTTCAGCGTGATTCTTGTCAACTACATATTCATGGACGGCAAGTGTGATTACTTTCAGGGTGAGAATGTGTTTTTTTTAATATTTCATTTTAAGTGGAAAGATTTTCGACTTAACGGCAAAAGAGCGGTGAATTTATAATTCATGTCGCTGGAAACTTAGAAGGCAAATATTCAGCAAATGAAGATGTTATAAGATGATGTTAATATTGTAGTTAACTGCTTTGTAGGTCTACTTAGTTCATACTCTTCTGACCAACATCAGTCAGAAGAGTAAAGGGACTCCAAAAGTCAGAACTGAACTCGGGGAAAAAAGCATCTAAGTTTGCTGCTCCTTTTCCTTGGAACGAGTTACAAAAAGAGCTTCAACTTAAAGGGATACTTCACCCGCTGAAACATGAATCTGTACTGACATTGGGTCATATATGTAGAAATGTGAAATACATTTTGAAGTTGGTGCCTTCTTGGCCGTGAAAAGACAGAAAGTGTCTTTTTGGCTCATGTGGATGAAAGACACCAAATCCCAGAATGCACAGCACCGCAGGCCACTCCCACTAAGGTCCTCTATTTACAGACATATTTACTTCAACACATGAGACCGTTTACACAACTGATTCAGAGATTTCTTCCAGAATTGATCTTGGAAATTCCTGTCAGAAAACAGACTCCATGTCTGTGTCCATAGACAAACAGTGAGAGCACCGACTCTACCAGTCCACCCAGCTCGAGCCGGCCCGGGCTCCTCGTCCTCACCGCCGCCGACAGGCAGGCCTTATGTCTCGGCTGCTGAGCAATATAGCCGCGAGACGGTTGCTGCCGACGGGCTGGTTTTGTTTCTCGGCTGCTATATTTATATTTTTTCTCCATTATCAGCTTAGCTTTCAAACAATATGGCGGACGTTAAGTTTGGATTCTGGGAGTGAGTTCCCACCCACTGATCTGTGATTGGTCTGTAGCTTCAGTCGAAAATATGAGGAACTAGAGTTGTAGTTTCACCCGCTAACCACAACAGCTTCCAGTGACGCAAAAATCGTCATTTTGCGTCACTGGAAGCTCCTTTTCAGACTCAGAAATACAAAGATTTCTCATCTCAGGGGAAAATGAGGCGGTGAAGTATCCCTTTAACGAACTGCTCTTGTTGGATGCTTTTAAAGTGGATCCAAACTTCATGATGATTTTTAAATGAAGGCTGGCTGAAGAAGTGAAGGACATTTTTATGTGTATATGTTTAATGTTTTTGAAAAGCCTCATGTGTTATTCCTCATCTTGTATCAGGTACGGCTCTGGTGATCAACTACTTTATTCTTCTGGCTCTGTACTTCTACGCTCCGTCTCCAGCAGGCTGCTGACTGCAGGACACTTTAGGAAGTCTGCAGGACATTCATGTGGAAACGGAGACATTTGTATCTGAAGAGGAAGTGAAAGGCCTTTATGGAGTTTTATTCTCTTAAGCTGTTTGCTAAAATATACTTTTTGCACACTTAAAATTGCAATATTAGTTACTATTAGGTACTCGTCTTGACTGCACAAATATTTCACTCCTAAAGATGATGTGTCTAACTGTGACTTCTGATTGTCTAGTTTGTAACATGTGGTCAAAGAAAGCAAAGCAGTATTTTTACACAGAAATGGATGTAATGATTTAACAGTTCTACTCTAAATCGTATTTTTGTTCAAGTTGTAATAACTATTTTTTTATACTTTTAAGTAACTCCTAAAATGTGAAAATAGTACATGAGACAAATAACATTATTTTAAATTAAATGAAACCTTACAGCATCTAGAGTTTGGACAAGTGGCATGCTGGCTGTGCTGTGAAAATAAAAACAATATACAACAGTTTAAAAAAAAACGGGGCTGTCTGTGTTTTTATTGTTTGGACAGACAGGAATTACAAAACAATAAAACATAATGTACATTAAAGCCAGAACGGCTTTTTTCTCCCATCGAGTCACATGCACACCGTACGGACATGCAAAAGACATCGTTTGACTTGAACATCAAAAAAAGATGCAAATAGAAACAAATCCATCTTCAGCAAGGCAGAACATCGATCAAGTCCTGAAGCAGACTGCTGCTTCTCAATCAGATATAGATGACTTTAATGATAGTCAGCTTAGTGTTAGGAATGTGTAGCATGAGATGCCGCAGATTTTCAATTGTAAGTCAAGAAAGAAGTCTCCTTTAAAAAAAAAAAAAAAAAGGCAATCATGTGACTCTCCATGAGCAGCTGGGAGTTGTACTACAGGTTTTACAGCTTTACAGTCCACAGTGACCAAAGATCTTGACATAATTATATCTGTTTTCACAAAAATGGCCGTCTGTTGACATCTTGGCAAGCTGAGTGTTTTTCCCCGAGCCGTGCAGACTGATCATAGTATTCAACATCCTGAGTACCACAAAACATACTCTACCTGGTTCAAAGTGAACAAAGTCCTATACCAACTATTTTCTAAGTACCACAGCACTACAGCAGTCTTCAGAAAAAAAAAGACAACGGGTAAAAAAAAAACTAATAACATAATGCTATGCAAT